ATTTAAAAAATTAAGAATTATAATATTTTTATTATATATTATTTTTTATAATTATAATATATATATATTCAAGCTCAGCTCGTGAGCCTCACAAAGACAACTTCCACATTGACAAAATTGCATTGTTTTTGTTGATGCGGCAATTGTTTTGTTTTCAAAAACAAAACCGACCATGTTGTGGAACACCCCCTTAGGTAATAAATTTAAATTTGTTTAAATCAGAACATGATAAATCTGTACAAAATCAACATAAATTTACAAAATAAAGTGTAAAGCAATAAATGTGTTATAAAGAGAAAAATCTATATATCTAAATCTTATTTAATTCTGAAAAACTTTAGTATTAAAAAATATTCTTTTGTGTTTATGTATTCAATAGATTGGATCAGATTATAATAGATCGGATCAATTAATATTCCAATTTGAATAATTTCATGTCAGATTCAATCTATTTATGGCTAAACAGATATTCAAATCCAATTTAAATGAATTGGATTGAAATTCAAATCGGATAATATCTGATCCATTTGCAGCCCTATGCCAATCTTCACTAGTATATCCATCATTCTCATAAAGTTTTTAGGTGTTTAGATTTCAACAGCCTTGCAGCTAGCTTGGTTTTGCTCGCCCTATAATTTTAATATACATACATTAAATATATAATATTTTATATTATATATATAATATGTGTAGAAAAATTCTTGTATACATTATATAATACAAAATGTTATATAAAATATGAATTAATTGTGTCATATTATAATATATTAATATTTATATATACAACATACAATTTAACATAAAATACATGTATAAATATACATAAATATTATATATATATATATATATATATATATATATTTGTGGGCCATGCATGAATACAAAACGTAGACCCAAACTTGAAATTTCTGGGTTGGACTGAAAATGATCACCCCTAGGTGAGGTGGGATTTGTTAAACAACCCTTAACACAGTCATCAAGTGCAGCTAATCCAGATTCTATGTAAACGGGCTGTGCCATCTTGAACACTACCAAATAGAGTTGCAGATCCAGGATCTATTAAGTGGCCGTTCAAACGAATTAGGATTTGTTCCTTGCATAGCGCACCTCACACCGATAGACACATACCGTTGTGTATTAGGAATATCTCCTATGAATAATAAAATTAAAGTATGAGAAATATTCCTGATGTGCAATTGAGACATGCTGTAAGGTCAGTATAAAGAGCACACTGTGAGAAACAGATCATAATTCAGACTTTGTTCAAACATGTACTTTGGAAATACATCAAAATAAAAGAAAGAAAAGTGCACTTAAGGTAGAGTTTAGAACCAGGTATGGGTCAGAAACCTGTTATGTTTTTGGTAAACAGAATGGATTAGTGGAGACCCACCCACTAGGAAAGTAGTAGGGCTGTAAAACATATCTATTTATCCGGATTCTATTTTAGATTTGTCCTATTGAGGATGATCCGAATTCAATTTATTTATAATTACAACAGATATGAATCCACCCTTATCCAATCCCATATAATCTGCTTAAATTTCATTTAAATGTGTATCTCTATATACTATATAAAGCACATATTTTTTGCTTTTGATTTTATACAAGTTGTAAAAGTTAAGTTGAAATACTATATATATCATTAAACACAATATTTTAAAAACTGATCTAGAGGCTGAATTGTTTTTGTCTTTGGGTTGTGGGTCATTGGTTCAATTGACTGGGTCGAACGGTTTAGATATATATAAAATGACAGCTTAGGGCACATAGATCTCAAAAAGTTTACATGTATTCGATGTACAATCTATAACCTGGTCACTGAGTCGAATGAGTTAATGGTCAAATTAACTAAATCAAACGGTTCTTGACAAAGTCAACAAGTTTTTAATATCTGATAGGTCTTGATTGAATTGTACCTAAAATCCTAGCCAGGTGACAGAACGACCGAATCGCAGGTTGGAAACATCAGTTAAACATGTGCATTGCCGTGTTCTTATGCTAGTATACTTAAAATTTATATTTTAAATATTGTGTTTTTAGTAAGGCTTTATATGGAAAGAGTGCAAGTGTTGGTTTAATTTTGTAGGCGTTTGATAATAATGAATCTATGTATTGAAAATCACAGCAAATACAGATTCCAAAACATTTATATTCAAAATTGGAGAAAACTTTTGCACTCAAATTTCATCAAAGATGGGTTCCAATCTTGGAATTATCATTATAAAAGTTAATCAACGTAAAATTCGTTTGGAAATAGTATGAAATTATCATACAAAAACTAGCATATATTTGCATTTATATTCAACCTTTTTGTATTTGTATTCTTCTCAATTCTCACATGAGTCTGGATTATATGACATCCAATTATACATTGAGAATATTTCCTTTACATGTCTGTTAAATTTATAGAGATATATTCAGTTAGACCCCCCACAGGTGTGTGCAGCGATTTTACTTGCATGAATTCTGACGCAGCAAAACCCACTTGACTTGAGTTGGGATCTCCCGCCAAGAGAGAGATCTGCTCCTCACAGAAGGCGTCTCACAAGTACACCTCACCATGTATTGGAAATATTTCCTATAAATAATAATATATAAGTATGGAAGATATTCCCAATGCATAGTCGGATGTTGATGTAACCGTTTTTGGTCACGTACCATTTTTTGGGATGTGTAAAATTTTTT